AATTAACAAATTTATGTATGAAATGAAACTATTTAAAATGCTATTTATTTGGAAAATATGGCAAAAATATCAAATAAAAAATAAAATGCAATTTTTATTTTTTATAATTTTCTAGACTCTTTAAAGAAAATTATGCAAAAAGAATCATCAAAAAATAATGATTTTTCAATTTTATATGATTTTTTGGAAAATGAATGAGAAATGTAAAGAAAATAAAAAGAAATATGAAGAAATAAATGGGAGGGGGGTGAGAATAGCAGGACTATCAGTTCAAATGATTGGGCTTTCGCGCGCGTGGGGGTGTTAATAGCAGCTGAGCCCAATTTCCCCTACTAAATGAAACGGTGCGTTTCATTATTTGAAATTTCCCACCAATTCTCAGGTTGAATGTGGAGCGTTCGATTCTTGGTCAAGTCAAGCATCCCCCTCAGATCCAAGGGTCCACGTATCGTCTTCTTCCTCTATCCATTTAGGGTTTCAGAAACATACTTCATGCACGAAAATTCCACTCGATCTTTCTCCATGCTCCCTCGATGGAAATGAAAAATTCAAAGCCCTAAAATGATCTACTAAACACAAGGAATTCCTGCTTGGCCCTAGTTTTTGCTAACTCTCCTTGTGGATCCCAAACAGAGGGCACGAAAGCTAGGGTTCACCATACTCGTCTGACATCAACTTTGCCAGAACTCAAACCTGATGATCTACAGTTACTCTATATGTTATCCTCATCATTCTATGCCTTATCATATCAATTATAACCTAATACACAGCTTGTTCTTGGAGCTTAAAGAAATGGTGACCTGCCATGGAACTTCACAAAACTCTCCCTAGATCTCAAGAATTACTCCCCTATGGTCTCTAAACACTCCTATCCTAACCACATGATCTACAACAGCATAAATGAGGAGATTCGAAGAGTTTTGCATACCTTGCAAGTGATGATGGCAGGGGTGATTGTGCTGCAATTCAAAACTTGTAATGGCTTCTAGGTGCTCCTCCAATGGTGTGCTTTCTACTGTTTGCACTGGTTGTGGCTGAATCTTCTTGAATCACTCTATCCCCCTCTTCATGCAAGTTGGAGTGTACACTTGGATCTCCCTAACCAGCCACGAATTCCCTCCAATTTCTTTTGCCAATTCCTCAATGATAATGGTGGATGATGATGATAACAGAAATTGAGATGGTGGATGAAGCTTTAATGGAGTTTGGATAGAAAATGCAAATTGGAGTGAAGAAGATGAATGGTACAATCTTTGATCAATTCAACCAATTCTTTGATAAAATTCTGGCCTATGAATGATCTAGATGATAATCAAATCAAGAAAAGTGAGAATTGATGGAGATTGTAGAGAGTTTGAGAAGCTTTTGCAAAATTGGAGAAAGTGTGTATAACTTGGGGTTTTGAACAAATGAAATCACCAACCATGGCATGAACCATCTCACATCAATATATACATGAGGTTAGAACCTCCTAGAAACTTGGAGAAGCTTTCCTTGTGTAATTTCCCTTTGAATTTGGTTTATGTTTCTTCCATTACAAGCAACCATGGATAACTCACAAATTATGAACTAATCTCAAAATTACACTTTAGCCAATGTCTTTAAAATGATCTTTCCATTCAAAATGACCTATAATTTTGCTTCATTTGGCCAAGATATGAAAAATCTCATTTTTAAGTCCATTTTTATTCATTAAATCCAACAACTTTGAAACCTTGTGCTATGAACTTTTCCAATCTCTCATGGTCACTTTTCTAGACTCAAAATGTCATTTGGAGCAAGTTTGATGTTGTAAAGTTTTCCATTTGAAGCTTCCTTGCATGAGTTTTGGGCATAGGTTGAAATGACCTGTAATTCACAAATGACCAAAATACCCTTTGCTTGCCAAGACCATAAGTAGAGTTCCACACATCCTATGAAGGCATACCATACCATTATAGAAAGCTAAGACAATGAGGAACAACTCTTATGTTGACCAGAAATTCATTTGAAATATCCTTGAGGGGTAAAAATTGCTTGGAAGTCAAGTCACTTTTACAGACAAAATTTCAGATACCTCAGATGACCTGTAACTTGCAATGACCATAACTTGAGTTCTATAAATCTCCTTGATGTCTTCCACCACTCAAATTAAAGGTATTGAGATCCTCTACAAGTTTCATGTTGGACAAGGATCCACTTGAAGCTTTCATTTTGACTTATCTTGCTTGGAAATTTGACCTAAACTAGGGGATTTTACACAGAAACCCTAATTTAAAAACTCCCCTTCTCCTTGACTTCTCTTGGTTTCTTCTTAGCATAACAACATATCCTTATTATTCATGTCAAATGATGAACCCCACATCTCTCCAATAGCCCTTAATGCCTTTCAATCAGTCAATTGACCTAGAGTTGACCCAGGGTTGACCCAGATGAAACCCTAGTTGACTGTCTTCATCCACAACTCTTGTGTCTACTCCAATGACTCATTTCCTTCTCCAAATGAATTTCTAAATCCTCCAAGATGTCTATATACTCCCCATGCTTAGCCCACAGCTCACAATTTCTTTGTTGACCCTCAGGCACTCTCAGATAGGAGATGGACTCAATGCTTGATTTACTGACTTCTCCAACTTTCAAATTCTTTTCTGATGACTTTGAATGAGGTTGAATTAGGATAATAACCTCTTGATAGGCCTCTAGAGATGAGAATAATGATTGGCCCCTTGTTGAATGACTTGCTATGCTTATGTTATGCAGATGGTTAGGCTATGTACATGACTCTATATGCAAATGCTAATGATATTGAAACATAAACCAAGTGAATAAGGTTGAGCAAATTTTAGGGTGCAACATACACAAACCGTATGTAACATTAGGGACCTGTTAACATCCTACTGGTATCCCTTTGGTCGAGTCTAGTATTAGGGGATAGTTAATGTCCTATTAGAAATTCTTTATAGCTTCTTGTTAGTCTTGTTTGTTAGTCTTTCTTGTTAGTCTTACATGTTAGTCTTGCTTGTTAGTCTTATTTGTTAGTCTTTCTTGTTAGTGTGAAACCTTATTTTGCAGGTGATATACTTTTAACAATGACATATATTTTACTTTTGATGATGACAACCTTTTTATAATGATGATAACTGATGATGACAAGTCAAATATAAGCGATTAACCGATTAAAAATGCAAATCAAGTAATTAGGGTTTGTTAAACTTGACTATCTGATGATTTTAACCGAATAGAAGTTATTTCAAGCTTCATCTTAAGTAAACTCAAGCAAGTGTCTACACAAAGAAAAGTATCTAATGAAGTCTTGCCTTAAGTAGCATGAGTAAAACTATGTAATGCATAAGTGCATTTTTGTAAAGTGTTTTGTTAAATCACACGCACATGAAAATATTTTTTAAACGGAGTTTTCTCAAAGAAATACTTTCAAAAAAAATCTTGAAGTTGTGCCAGATGAATTGGAAGTTGTTTGAAAATATTATAGAAAAGTTTTTGTCATTGCCAATCGATTGACACTTTATCCCAATTGATTATGAAATTTCAAAAATGTGCCATAATCCAATAGGACATCATCTTAATCATGGTTACGACTAGAAATCTTTTTTTTTTCCATCTTGAACTTGGTAATCGATTGTAAAAGAGCCAACTAATCAATTAGGACATCTTGTCAAGGTTTGGGGAGGACATGTGTTGATGCTGCTTCCTAGGTTGGTGAGCCAATTTTCAAAAAGGCCTCAAATTGGGAGATTTTGGGATGTTAGGTTATAGGAAAAGTATGTTTTCAAATGTCGCAAAAATCTTTGTTATTTCTTGCTCATCCATGTCCTTTGACGTCTAGGTAGCTTCAATCTTTCATTTTTGAGTAAGGGCATGGATATTTCATGAGTAAGGGAGAAGCGATGTGTAAAGAAGATATGACATAAATTTCATTTCATATGCGTGCGACTTTCGCCATCTTAGCTCTTCGAGTTATAAGTAAGGGTGAAGTCTTGGCGTTTGAATTATTCTAAAGGAAAAAGAGAGGCATGAGGAGCGTCTTGACGCTCTCGTTATGAAGAGGGACCAACATATTTGTGAACTTTCACGGCCAACAATTAACCTCTCTCAACAACCTGAGAGAACTAACCTATTTATAGACTACTAAGTTAACTTATGATATAAGTTAACTTAACAATTGAACTTATAAGTAAGACCAAATTCGACATACTAACTTAAATTACAAGTTAATATATTTCGACATTATGCTTGAATAAATTTCAACTACAGCATACACAACTCATGTCGAACCATGAAATTACCCTTGTCAACACAAGAGTTCAATTCAAATACCACATATATAATATGTGGTTAATTTCGCTTTGCATAACCTGGTGGGAGATGCAGAGAAAACTGTTTGTTTAGATATGACAGATAGTAATTAACAAATAGGCTAGATCCAATTTACGACATGAAAGTCTACCTATTTATATTTCAACTACAAGATACTCTGATTGAATCGCTCAAATTAGATTGAATTTATTGATATGTTAGTCCGGTTTAAAAAAACTCATCCACAAGTTCTTTGTTTCACCAAACGTCTAAAGAAAAAATATAAATAATGGCGCTCAAACCATCACAACCCTCAAAGCGTGTATGGCATTTTATAATGTGTTATGGAATTTCTACGAAAATTTTGTATGTGAAATGTACTCCCCCACTAGATTCAGTTAAATGTGCACTAATAGCTACAATCACTTGCTTTGACTTCATCAAATTCAAACCTCGTAACACACCAACCGGACCCAATAGGACCGTTTCATCTTAATAATTCCTACTTATTTGGGTTGCTACCAAGTACTGGAATAGCAGCTTATATTAAGACTAATTAAAAGTTAATTTGATAATTCCACACCACCAGATATGTTTCTTGCCTAACGCTTTTATTTCCTTTCATATACACCTCTATATAAATCCATTCTATAACTTCAACAAAAGCATAACAATTAACTTCAACAGAAGCTGCTAATTAAGAAACAATGGCCTCCACCACCAACTGTGTCCATGTACTCACCTTATTTGTTATAGTTACCATTTCAATGTTTACAGTTACTACAGCAAACAAGGACTGGCCCTCCTTTGGTAACTTTAACTACACTGATTGGTGGTCACGATTTGGAAACCATAACCATCAAATAAATAAGACACAACAAGAATCCAACAACATCATCGTTGGTGGTTCTCAAAATTGGCATTTTGGCTATAACTACACTGATTGGGCTATCAAGAATGGTCCTTTTTACCTGAATGATACTCTCGGTAAGTTTCTCTTTTATTATAAGCTTCATTATAACAACTATTATATCTTTATTAATATATTTGTGTGTGTAGTTTTCAAGTATGATGCTCCAAATGCAACGAGTTTCCCACACAGCGTTTACATGTTTTCAAGTTGGAAGAGCTTCATGAAGTGTGATGTTAAGAAGGCTAAGATGCTTGCCAATCACACACAAGGTGTTGGAGAGGGATTCAAGTTCGTGTTAAACAAATGGAAGCCTTATTACTTTTCATGCGGTGAAAAAAATGGATTACATTGCGACATTGGACAAATGAAGTTTGCTATTATGCCGATGATTCGTCCTTTCTGGCCATCAAGGCCTTGAGAAAAATATATGTGTTTACAATGTGTTTCTATACCTAGCTAGTTCTTAAAAATGTGGAAACACGTTGAGCTTTAGAGTTTTATAGTTATCTCTTCTTAACTTTTAATATATGTTTCAATAAATTCAAATAAAGTGAGTGGTTTTTTTTTTGTTTTATACTAATTCATTCAAGATATAATTCTGGTGCTTCAATAAGAGTAGTTGTTTTGTGTCTCTGTATATGTAAAACAAGAACTTTTATATATTGAAAAGTAGTATATAATTCTAAAACTAACCTCTTCATATATTTACAAATAATTGGAGTAATATTTATGATTATTGAAAATTATAAGGGGAAAGAATCATCCTTTGCTTGAACTCTTTATTCATTCAAGAGTAATTTTGTTATGTTTTTTCCTTCTTTATCATCGTTCGAGACATATGCAGATATGAAAGAGAATTTATTTACTAATCTGTTTGGAGTGATGAACTTGTCATATAAGTACCTTGAAATGAAAAATAGTAATTTTAAATATCAGTAATCATATAAGTCAAGTCATGTTACAAAATTAAAATGGCGAAGAAATATTTTCATTTATAAACATAAACAGTTACATCAATTTACTTATACCAAGAAGCTTAAAGATGAAGATGTACCAGATATATATTATAATAACAGTGACACTTAACCAATTATGATCAAAAAGTTCTTTTATGTTCTCTACATGTACATACTCTTGAAATACCTCACAAAATATATTTTCCTCCATGGTTATCTCAATTACCTACTCAAACCTCATCATCATTTTTATATACATAGCAAGGAATTTTAAACTAGTAGAACTAGTTGAACCCCCAACTTTAGATGACAACTCTTGAATTTTTGGATTTTCGTTTTTTTTTATTGGTGATGCAATTGATTTAGCACTATATTGAACATTCCTATCCTTTCTTTGAAATTTACCAGGCATCTAAAAGGTTATATTACCCAAGGTTAGTGATCAAATGATAAAACAAGTATATATACTTAGGAATCAAGCATATTCATAATAAGTCATTTACCTTTTGACTAGGGTTGACAATGAACCAAACCAACTCGAAAATAGTTTGGATTCGATTCGACAATTAAATCGTTGAACTAGGTTCATGAACCAAATGAGTTGAGTATGAACGAAAAATTAAGTTCGTTAACTAAATGAGCTGAACTTGAACTATACATAGTTCGACTAGTTAGGTTCATGAGTCAACTCGATTACATATGAGAAGAATTATACTGTCTTTAAGAATAGGTTTAAATATTTACTCCAAATCTTAGACAAATTTAATCTTCAATTTAGTAGTTTTTGAATTAGACTCTCAAATGTATCTCTTGAAAGTTGTGTAGGTTTTGAATTAGTAGATTTCGAAGATAAAGTTAAATTTCAATATGATAACTTTTATTTTATTTAAAAAAATATATTTATTTAAAATGTCAAATATACTAATATATATATATATATATATATATATATATATATATATATATATATATATATATATATATATATATATATATATATATATATATATATATATATATATATATATATATATATATATATATATATATATATATATATATATATATATATATATATATATATATATATATATATATATATATATATATATATATATATATATATATATATATATATATATATATATATATATATTTAAAAAAATAGTTTTTAAGTCCGTGAATCATGTGAGCTGAACCTAATGAGATGAACCTAACGAGTTGAACCGAACTGTTCGTGAACTTATAATGAGTCGAGTTTGAGCTTAAAAAAAGTTCGTGTCGAACTCAAACTCGAACAATTCTTAACGAGTCAAGCCGAGCTGAGGTGAGTATGACTCGACTCGACTCATTTCCATCCCTACTTTTGACATTCATTAACAAAGTCAACTAATTTAAATGGTCATGGAACAATTGTACCTATTGTCTGACCAACCATGGAGACATCACCATATTCAACAGATATAGACAGTGGAGCATCTAACACAATAGGAACGTCAATCATAACTTTGACATATTCGGGTAGTAAATTTATATCATGCATAATATCACTATCGGTGTTATATAACTTTCCACGAGCAACCAAACGTCAATTTGAAGATGATAGATATATATTAATAGAAGAGATACCATAAAACATTAATGAATTATAAAAAATTAATATAATTAATAGAAAAAATTAATTAGAATTTATAGTTTAATAAAAAAAACAATTATCTTCAGAATGTTGTCAATTGCACCAAAGTTGCAAGAATCCTTGTCACTAGGATGTCCCCTCTATATAACTTTATCATGTGAATGCCTCACTCCCACTTCTTTAGTTTGTTGCCTCTCTATAACTTCACCTATTAAGCATATTCTTCCCACTTCTTTGGTTTATTGTCCTTCAATCACTTTCTCATATTCATGTCTCTCTAATATTTCATCAGTTTGTGGCCTCTCTTTCTTTTCTCTCTCTAGTTTCTCACTCTCTAGTGTCTCCAATCTCTTAGTCAATGTATTGAACATGTTATAAATATTATCAATGTGTGCTTGTGTAGGGAGAGCTTGACATGGAAATATGTCTTTAACACTTACTAAAAAACCATAACTCCTTACACACCCAGAGTACTCTAGAAGTTCTAATGCATGAAATAATATGTCGTTACGACCAAGGTTTTCTCCTTACTCTTCTTCAGTTAAAGATTGTGTTAATGCCTCCTAAAATTGATATGCAAGAAAATCTTATTAACCATCATCATAGGAAAAAAATAGAATTAATGTGTGGTATATGAATGACTCACAATATCGGAGTACTTGTTTCCATGTATCATTAACAAAAGAAAAAACAAATATTTGACTTACACATTTATCCAAATTTTTTTAACGTTATAATTGTCAATATCTTCATCCTTATTCACCCGGGCAACTTACCACAACCGATAATTGGGTATTCTCTCTTCATTTGACTTTTGTTTCTATATACATATAAACAATTAAAAATCTTTCTGACATATTCTACAAAACGTTTGTACACATATAATAAGTGCTAAAATTTACTAATTTTGAGTGTAAATAATTGGCAGTTATTGGCTTGATTCAACCAATAAACCTCAACTTTTGTGCATATGTTGTATAGTTTAAATTATAGTGTATATATTGAGTGTCGCGTAAATTTCATTAAGTTTAATTGATTTTTTCTCATTTTTTGTAGGTATATAAATAATGATATTTTGTCATTATCTTATAGAGCATTGAATAAGCTTTACAACGCTTCCGACCGCGCGTAAAACGGAGTTACAGTTCAGAAGTTATGGTCGAAACAAGTGCTGGTTTGCTGTCATGTTCGCCAGGCGAACAGAAAGATCAAAAACGCGTGAAAAACACTGTTTTGGCAGTAGCAAAAGTTGCACATGTTCGGTAGGCGAACAGGACTTCGCCAGGCGAATACTGGGACCCATTTTTGTCTATTTAAGTGATTTTTCAGCATTTTTTAGGTGAGGTTGTTTGGGAACATTTTACCCCAACTTCATCAAACACATTCTTGAGTAGATTTAGCTTAGAAACAACATTGGAGGGTGCATCTTGACGATCCAGAGTCGAATTCACTTCAATCGGAGTTGACAGACCGTGATATTTGTATTCTTCTTCCTTCCTCTCTATGTATTTTTCATTTGTTGGGGTTTTGTATGTAAGTTTACCTTGATCGTATGTATATTTATGGATCTTTGTATAAAATCTCTTTTACAACTCTTTATCGATGCTTATCTTGATTTTTTTTCTTAATGAGTTTGGATTGCTATAGATATATACGGTTCGAACTCAATCTAAGATGAACATCTATTAGATTCTAAATGCTAGAGATAGATTTAGGACTAATATTCACGTGGGTATCGATTCTTAATGCTCCGTGTTGTCGAGTTGTGTGAGAGATCAACAATGAGACGATACGGTTGATCTCTCGACTTTGCGTTAGAGACAACCTCTGTTGTGAGCGATACGTGATGATATTGACGAGCGAATTAGGTTGCGTGCATTTGATCCATATATTTTTTAGTGCATGATGGGTAAAACGAAATACAACTCCTGACGAGTTTTCTCATTTCTTAAGAATGTACTTATTTTCTTGTTTTATGTTTTTCCTTTTGAGTTTTTTATCCCAAACCATTCAAACCCAAACTTAAAGACGTGGAGATTGTCGAACGACATTCTTTCCCTCACACTGATCCCTGTGGAGACGATAAATCCCGAAGGAAATTCTTCCGAAAATAATATTTTTGCTTGCTGCTTTACAGCTTCAACAAAATGGCGCCGTTGCCGGGGATTGGTTGTGATATTGAGTCGCATTGCGATAGTTTCTATATTTCTAAGCTTTGCACATAATTGTATATATATGCTTGTATAGATACTTGTTTTGCTTTTGTCTTCCATTATGTTTGTTTAAGTGTTGTATATATTTTGTTCTCGTAACATTTTTTCAAGTGTTTGGTTAGGACACTTTCTTTAGGTTGGCGCTTTGACAAAGCATCGACGTGTATGTGAGGAAGTTACTAGCAAAGAACACTAAAGGTGTCGAGCTAACGACATGAAACAAGCGCTTGTTGGGAGACAACCCAATGGTTTTTGAGTTTGTATAGCTTTATGTTTATTTAGTTTAATTCAATTTTGTTAGGTTGTTATAATAATGTTTGTGTTTTCTCTCAAGTTTGTTTTTGATTAGCTTGAGGATGCATTTTGTGATTTTCCAAGTTTGATCGTTTCAACTTGCAAATGTATGGTTTTGATATTGTTTGAAGTTAGTACTTTGCAAGGTACTCGTTTATCGCTTTCTAGAACATAGCATGATTATGAGACTTTTCATTTGTACAATTTTCATGTCATTCATTCTTTTGCCATACTTGTTCAGTTTTGAATCACTTTAGAACTAAACCTTTTTGTGAGGAGCTTTCCAGTGTTTACTATATGCAGGAGACCAACATTCTTG